AACTGGGTGTCGGCGGACCCGTACCGTCGCCTGTCCCCGGGTGCCTATCTCGGAGTCCTTCCTGGCGACCCTTGGCGCCCAGGGCCTTGTTTTCAACGCGTCGCTGAACCCCTGCTTCCTGCTTGTATTTGGCGGTTTCAGCGGCTTTTGCTCGTTGGGCTCTGGCTGCCTCATGTTCACGTAGGAGTTTCTGGACGGCCATCTCAGTGGCTCGTTCTTGCTCATAGTTTGCTGCCGCGAGCCGCTTTTCTTCTTGGTCGACTTCCTCCTTAGCTCGTTCCTTGGCGGCCAGCTCCGAGATCTTTCGGGCTCTCTCTGCCTCGTTCATCGAGCCTTCGGGTGTTTTCCTTGCGGGCAGCGATCTTCTGATGACCTGGGATGGGGGTGCTGAAAGATACGCCGGTATCGCTCGAGAAGGTCCCGGCGAGGCCGGGGTCTTCTTCGCCTTCGAAGGTGATCGACCCTCCACGTCCTTTGGTGCTTCCACGCGAAAAAGCTCGTTTGGCGTAAGGCGATCCCATGTTCACGGTTTCCACCGTGATGCCGGGAGAGCGTTCGGCGGGTCTTTCATGGAGCGCGGCTTCGTCCTAAGCTCGCTCTTTGGCTTGAAGAGCGGCCGTTTCGTGGGGGGACAAGGCGGTACTAGCGATTCCGTCAATGTATTTGTCATTGCGTCTAAGCAACCCTTCAAAGGCGTACCCCACCTGGTATGGACCGAGTAGCTCCTCGGGTGCCGGCTCGGTGTACACTCGATACCACGGTCACTGAAACAAAAATAGACGGTACCTTTCATGACGAATCGGGCTGACAAAACATCTCCTTGCACACCATCGGCCGGTGTGCAAAACGCGCCATCTCCGACACCGGACCCTAAGGAAGTCAACTGTGTGACCCGCCGCTGGCGTCATAAACTCCAAGTCCATGCTTACTTTTCTTCAGAGTAAGGTTTGGCGAGGAGGCGGTCACTGTCGGGCAGCAGATACTTTTTTCAGGTTGCGGACGCTCACACTAATTACCCCCAGTCAAAAAGGAAAATTGGTGTCGGCGGCTGCAACTCTGGTTCAGAAAAAGTGAACCTGATTTGTAGCCGCCCGATTAGTAGTCCTTCTAGCTAGTCATCAACACCACATAGGCACACCACTGTGCACCCGACACTTCGGTCCACCACCTCATCCTTGATGAGTGGCTCTCCCGGATTCCTGTCCGTCAGTCTCCCTTATGGTCGGCTCCCTGTTAACTCATACTCTCCGTTCTGTAGAATCTCTTCATTCCCTGTCTGGGAAGGTGGGCGATGGTCGATGACGCAAGAGCTTCCGTCAACCGGACAACGAAGAAAGATCGGCAGAAGAGACCCAAAGAAGATCGGTGCCATGATTTGGGAGATACGAGTGCAAAGAAGACCATCACTTACTTTAGATTGAATTCGCAAAACCTTCCCAAAGATTGCTCCGGCGTTTGCCCTCTTTCATTTCGAAACTTTGTCCATTTGTCTATCTATCTATCTATCTATCTAACTGTCTATCTAATCATGAAACTCTCCATTGCCAGTCTCGTGTTGGTGGCTACCCCCGTGGCGGCCTTTGCTCCCGTGCATCATCATCCACGTTCTCTGCTGGCAGTCAAGCCGTTGCAGGGAGGATATCTGGAGGACCTGGGTGCCATTGGGCCAGAAGAAGAAGAAGAGGAAGATGATTCTCGTGAAGCTACCATGATGTCCAAGGAAAGTCTCGATCGAGCCGGACCAGGAGACTGGAAGGACTATGTCGAATTCCAGTAAGTTCATCAAGGCAGCTTCATTCCATTCTTCCATTCCATGGGATTCGATTCATTCTCGTTACTTGTATGAGATTGTGTTATCTCATCTTCTTGCATGTCTCTTACTCATACTTACTTACTATTATTAACTACGGTATTGATTATAACACAGCGAATTCGATGGCGGTGATGGACAGATGGGTGTGGCAGGAGATGGTAACTCCAAATTGGAAACATTCGACATGAGTGCCATGGCCAAATCCAAAACCATGTCGGCCAAGAATGCATGGGGGAAAAGTACCGGATATGCCGAGAACTTGATTGAACAGGGAGTCGAAGCACAACGAGCCCAACAATTGGAAAATTGGCAAAATCAACAAGAAGTACTCGCACAACGAAAAGCAGCCAAGTGGCAGTCGGAGGAATTCGACAAGATTAATGAAGAGACGGATCAATGGTCCTTGTCCAAATTTGGTGTCGAACGGAATCAAGTGAGTACTCAACAAATATATACTAAATATGTTTGCTCATGAATGAATTGTTGGTGGTTTGTTGGTGTCACTCACTCACTTTTGTGTTTTGTCTCTCTCTTGCGCGTCCAAAAGGAATTTGACATGGACGAAACCTTTGGTCCAGTCACGGCCGGTACCATTGATGAAGTCGTGGAACTCAAGGCCAACATGAACCAAAATGCCGTACACGAATTCAACGTCAAGAACGAATACATGGGATATGCCGATTTCAGGGCCGCTTTTACACCCGACACTCCGCCCTTTTTTACCATTGAACCCACCGAAGGATCACTCGATAAAAAGGGAACCGATTTCATTCTGCGATTCAGACCCAACAGTCCTTCCGTAGTCGAAGGATACCTCGTCATTGAAACGGAAGATTTCAAAAAGACCTATCATCTCATTGGAGGTACTTCGTAAACAATCGGATCGAAGAATCGATGGATGGAGAGACTTCTATTGGTATAATCCATCTGTAGAAGAAACATCAATCTGCTTGAAAACTTTTCGTTGCAAACCTTCCACGAAAGCATGTGTGTACCGTGTCAGGAGGAGGATTGGATTGAAACTCCAACACAAATGCATCCTATCGTATGCTGTAGCAAATACTAAGAATGCTCTTTGGTACTTCGTAAACGAAACTTTGTGGAATCGATGGATTGATTGAGAGACTATTGGTATAATCCATCCATATTCATGCATAGATCCGTAGAGAAAACATCAATCTGCTCGAAAACTTTCGCTGTAACCCTTCCACGAATGCATCCTATCGTATGCTTTAGCAAACACTAAGGGTGCTCTTTGCATTCATATGCGTTCTTTCCATTTTCTTCGTCTTTTCGTCCGGAATCGCAGCAGACTTGTCGCAAGGGGGCGGGGAGTTCTTTGTCAAGCTCGAGTCCAGTCCTCCAGCGGATGGCACATCACTAGCCAGACAAACAAAAGCAAGGAGAGGGAGCCGGAGCGAATCCCGGGCTTCAAAGTTCTGGCTTTTTGAAAGTCTCTACATCTCACGGACAGACATGTTCATGGGAATATACGAGACAATCCAAATGACCACTGCTCTCGCTATGCATAGATTGACTTAGCTACCGGTATCTACATCTACATGTACAAGCAACGGCAACTAATTTCTAATAAACTACTGATACTACGACCCATTGTGCTGCATGGCACAAGGTCAAGGTTGAGTTCTTGTCTACAATTATTTTTCAAAGCGACTAAACCCGTCCAGAATTTCATAATAGTCAGCGCCCAGGGGATCAAAGATGGGCTTGACCTTTTCCAGTTCTGCTGGAGGACCAAATAGGTCAATACTGAGCAGATTAAACATATCCTTGTACTGTTGCAGAACGGGACCAATGCTTTCCATGTGCCGAATAACGGCATCTCCATCCTCGTAGGCTTCCAAGACAAAAATTTCGTCGGTTCCTTCCTTGCGGCTGTACCCATAGAATAGATTGCCCGTCTCGGTAGCAGTGCGGCTGACGGTGTCTTGGACAAAGGCATCCCATTTGGACCAATCCTTGATTTCCTGTTTAGGGCGAATGGTCACATGGTTGTGGGGTAGGCCCACTTCATCGTCGTTGGGTTCCAACCGTGTAATGTTGCAAATTCCACCCGGCAAGAGTTCACAAAAGTGCACGTTGGGACCGGTCAAGATCGTATAGCCCGTTTTGAGCTTTTCCAGTTCTTCCTTGGGCGCGTGAATGTGATGAATGATCAATTCGACGCCTTGTAGTTTTTGAAAATCGCCCACTTCATCCTCCACATCGGTATTGTGGGATACGACAGCCTGGGCGTCCTTGTATACTTGGTTGACTTTGAACAGACCAGTCTTTGTGGAACGTACGTGTCCCACAAACCAAGCATCGACTTTGGATCGCGCCACTTTGGCCGACATTTGCTTCAACACGGAAGGACCCTTGGGATCTTCAATTTTCCACAGCGGATCCACCCATACAAAATCCAGTGGTGCCATCGTGACGCTATATACCGTACCGTAGGTATACTGCGAATCCAATCAATAGATCTTGGGAAGGTTGTTTTGATGGATGCAACAGCTCTCTTTGCGAAGGTATTCCAAAAGCGACGCGAGCGCCGACAAGCGACGCTCGCCTAGAGCAGCACAGCACGACTAGTTGAGTAGCGAAAATGACCTGTGGTAGCGATTTATGACTATCCAGTTACCAGATTACTAAAATCAACCACAACAACCAAGTAGTAAACACACACAACTCTATAGCAACCTCTTTATCACCACCATCAGCCTTTTTCGGCTTATCAGGCGTGGAAGCTACTACGATAGATCGAAGAACAAGCAAGCGATCGGTCGTTCGACAAGCACAAGCACAAGAGAAAGATCGGTAGCAGCGCCGTTCGTTTGGCCGTTCGAATAGCAGCGCCATTGTCGCCGATTCGAAGCTACCGACTCGAAGCTACCGTCCGAACGCAACGTGGAGAAGGACGACGTTCGAAGCTACCGTTCGTTCGAAGCAACCATTGTCGCGATCGTTCGTTAACCAGAAGAAGAAGAAGGAGTCTGTTAACCGTTCGTTCAGTCGAAGCAGCGCCATTGTCGCCGATTCGAAGCTACCGACTCGGAGCTACCGTTCGAACGACGACGAGAAGAAGACGACGAGAAGAAGAGAGAGATCCTCATTGCCAGTGTATTCGGCAGAGGAACAAGAGAAGAAGAGAAGACCTCCAAGCGGCATAGCAACAGAAGACCTCTCAAGAAGAAGGGGCTCTCTCAAGTGGAGCGAGAGATAGAGACTTCCAAGTGGGAAGCAGAGGTTTGGACTTGGAATATTGATCCCTCCAGTCTGGATCAATTCCTGCCTCATTGTCACCAAAGAAATCGATTGAGCCAAAGGAGAGGGGACGCCTGATCCAAGAGTTTTGGCCTAGACTGCCACAGACTGGGTGTGCAGAGCTCATTCCGTGAATACAGCCTTACTTGTCTGGTTGTGTACAGTTTGCTGTTGGAATAGGAGCAGAGAAGAAGACCAACAACTGTTGCTCATCCAAGTGATACGCAAGAGAAGAAGTAATTGGAGGCGAAATATGGCAGGCAATCTTGCAGCCATGAACAACTATCTACAGAATACCATCGGTATTGCCGAATTAGCCACGAGGACAGCATTGAATGATCAAGATTGGATGCCTTCGTCTCACTCGATACCTTTACCGATGCTGATATCAAGAGCATCTGCGAGAACGTGAGGAAACCAGGTGGTACCATTCCAAATCCAGCAATTGCGGCTGCAGCCACTGCCGAAGCTGCCGCAGCAGTTCAGCCAGAGAAGTTCCCAACCGTGGACGACAGCTGGGATTTGTCTTTAGAAGCGACTCAGACAACTACGGTTCTAAAAGTTTCACATGACACGAATCCAGCGTGAGTTCATCCCAACCAAGCACATTTGGCGAGATGAAATAGAGTTTGGGCTTTATACGAGTCCGAACGAGAAGAGATTGATGTTGCGGATCCTCCCCAACTCTTGAAGGTCGAAGATGTCCGACGAGTGCTGGAGTCTATTGACAATGTTCTGAATGTCAAGCGAGGCGTTTGCGGTGCCCCTCTGGCTTATGTTACGCGATCCAAAGTCACTCTGCCAGGAGCACTTGATACCGACACCGCAGATGAGGCTGACCCAGGTTTTGGCCTTCCATCGCATCCTGAAGAATTGGTCCGAAGAACAAGACATGCTGGACCTCATTTCGTACAAGACAATCAGGCTGTTTGGGCCATCATTCGTCGGTTACTCACGGTGGCCTGGTTGGACATGGGTCCAACGTTGCGCAGCGCAACAAAACGGTCGAGCAGCTTACTTGCCATGAAGGTTCACTATCTTGGTGATTCGTTCCAGGCTCGTACCAAGGCATTCCGGATAGAGCCATTGAAACTACTTTCTTTGATGGGAGGTCCCGCAACTTCACTTTTGAGCGCTACTGTGAAAGGCTTCCAAGGCCTTCACCGATCTGAAACCGCTGGTGAAACCTTTACTGAGAGCCGCAAGATTCGCAAGCTTCTGTCCGGCATTACAGACCCAAACCTCAAGACCGCCAAGTCCGTCATTCAAGCAACTCCGCTCTACGCGAGAGTTTCCAGGAGCTATGAATTACTTAGCCGGGCAACTTGATGTCGCTGAACCACTCGACCCACAAGAAATATTTCATCTGTGTCTGGCGTTGGTCGAGGCGGTGGTGGAAGAGGACGAGGACGTGGCGGTGGTAGATCCCAAGGCCGAGGCTATGGAAGGGGCCGAGGCAGGGGACGAGCCGTGGTAGAGGCCATGAGGGCCGGGGTTTTGACCCCATAACCCAGGAAGATATTACCATCCCGATGAGTGGGCTCAGCTCACATCGGCGCACAGCAACAGGCTAGGGACGCCCGCGATGGTGACAAGCGGAAGTTGCCGAGCTGCAGACACAGTTGTCAGATACCCAGTCCCAAGTCTCGGAATTGCAAGCCGAGAAGCGATCCCGGACTGATGTTCCTTGGTGGATCTAGCGTAGGAATGCCATGAATCGGCGAGCATGAGTCTCTGCTGTTCGCACTCGGCGATCCGTTGCTACTCATTGCCATCATCTCGGATTGAGCTTGACAGCCATGCCGATACATGTTCCTTTTGGGAAAGTGCTTACGTGGTACATGAAACGGGAGATACTATATCCGTCGAAGGGTTTTCAACTGATCTTGGAACCA